GGGTCAGGCTAGATGGTCTGTTCAGGTCCCTCCTGACTCTAGCTACTATGAAACTATAAAACTATGTGCTCATAGCTTGGTCTTCATCTGGGCAGCTGGGACTGTTTTCTTTGTGCATCTAAGGTCTTGCTTTTGAGTGTTGCTATGCTCATTTGTTCTCTCCTTAAGAATCTGATCAAGTACACTGACCTAAATGTTATAAGCAGGTACACATAGCTTCTATAAAACTGCATAGTAGGAGAGCATGTCAGTTGAAGCTGAATATAGAGATAAAACTAAAAGAAAATAATTTTTAGTTTGCTGCACTCACAGCAAGAATTTGCTGAGTAGAGCAACATGCAGGAAACAGAAACATAGCTAGGTTTAAGAGCTCATGAGCCTTAAAGTACCCAATACTTAAGAGTGCCTTACTGAGTTGGTTTCAAATGCTTAGTTGACTACTGACAGTAGTTTATGAGGGTGAAGAATGCACTGCTTAAAATGGATTATATACAATATTGATTGGGATTCTAAATGCAGTTGCTAAAGAAATGGGAAGAATTCCAAACGAAAAAATGTTCATTAAAACTTTATGATATGCTGCTGGAAATTCAAAAAAGTTCCAGAGTTTATTAAATTGACTCCTTTTAACCAATAATACAATATATAATAAGTTTTATGACCTCAAGTGCTTTATAGTGTTTTACATAATTGGAAAAAATGCTACATACAGATTTGCAGGTCCTTTGGGCTTTTATCCATTTGTTATATTACAATAGCACCAAAAAGCCTCAGTCAACACTGGGGCCTTATACCAGGTCCTAGAGATAATTCTTAACTTAATGAAAAGTTTCTCTTACTGTGAAGTAAATTAAAAATAAGTCCCTAGGCCAGATCTGAAAAGTATCTGAACAACCAAATCTGCCCCACCACATTACTCTGCCTGTGCATGACAATTACATATCAAAACTTCTTTAATTACTCTGATTCCTTCAACTAACCAGACAAAATTGTTTTAATCTGCAGTTCACCTCTCCAAACACTATGAAGAGTGAGTGGTGTTTGCAGCATGCCCTGAGAGTCAATTTATCTGATGGGAGTCAGTTGTAAAGTTAGGGACCTTTCCAATAGCTCTCAAAACTGATTATTATTATTGTTGTTGCTGTTATTTATATTGACTCTAACTCAGTCATTTCCACTGCCTCCAGTGCAGCTGTCTGGGCAAGGTGGGGATCACTAAGGCTTGAGAGGACTCCAGCTCTATGCCACCTTCTCAGATTCCACGTGGAAGTGAATAAGCAGCCAGTGCAGAGCACACCTGCAGTACAATGGTGTTTTCCAAGCAGACAGCTGAATTCCACACTAGCTTCAGTTTCCACTTTTATTTAAGATGTAGCTCCATGTTTTAGTGACAGCAAGACCCAAAGCCATAGAAACTTGCAACAACATGGCTCTATAAGCAGAATGGTGGCATTTGTCATCTGCCAAAACACTGACAGTCTCCATCCACCTTTGTCAGCCAAAAAAGGTGAGCTAGGAGGCCTAGACCACAGGTCATCACATGACATGTTTCAAGTACTACTGGGAGTGATACAGAAATCTGAGATTTGTTTCCCCAGATATAACCTTCCCCTAACAGACACTTCATACTGAATCCTTACAGTTTTCTTTGCAAAGTAGTAGTTTCCTCACATCAGAAGGGACAAACAGCCATACAAATGGAAGCAGATGAAATTAACCAATGTATGAAGTAAGTATTAAAAGCTATAGCTGAGGCAAAGAACATTTCCTTTACCTCCCATATAGTCACTATAGGAGTTAAATCTGCCACATCCATTCAGCTGTAGTGCAAGATTTTCTCCATCAGTGACTTAGGGACAGATTTTTGGATGCTGTTTTAGGCACCTAAAGACCTTCCAGGATGTGGACACTACTGGAATTTTCAGAAGCATC